CCAAATTTTTTTTCTATTTTTTGTAAGGAGAATCCGCGGCAACATAGGCCATTGGGTGTGGGGTGGTACGGTAGGGATTATTTTTGTATGTTTGTTTGTAGGTTTTTAAGTGGGTAGGGTTGCAACACGTGTTTGTGTATGTGTGTGGCAAGGATATGTTGCTAAAAATCCTGGGTGATCACCCATCCGGGAGCTAGCAACTGCGGCCGGTACGTACGCTCAGTGCGTTTCCGCAGATTGAGCGTACGACCGCGCCTCACCAAGCCACGGGAAGTTATAATGTCGTTATTAGTTTATTAATTATTAATTCACAGAAAAAAAAAGTTATATTATTGAAAACTAAAATACGGCGACTGCCGGTTGGCATTTAACATTTTATTGAACTGAAAAAATAGTAAAATAATAAATATACTTTCTTTATTTTTGAAGTGAAGTATTATGAAATGAATATATATTTTATAATACCTGTTAAGTTAATGCATTGAACCATGCTATTATTTATACATCATTATACAAAATTTTTTTAGAAAGCATTAAATACATCTTTCATCCCCTTCGTATATCCACCTCWGAGGAGGGAGGTATCGTATTATAGCTTACCTGGAGTTTAGTACGAAATCTGAGCACGGCATTTCGTCGTCAYCAAACAAGCCACTCGAGTAACGCTGTCGTCGGTGCTCGTAGTCGTCGTCGTAATCACCGTCATCATCGACATCGCCGTCTCCGCAGACGTCACTGTCGCGGCACTCGAAAGATATTCTGCCGCAGTCCCGGTGCCTCGAGAACCATTCGAAGGTGGGTGGCTCGAGCAGTGCTTCAAGCCGCGATTCCGGCAGTCCTAGGGTGCGGGCGAAAAACGTTTTGCACACCTTCACTTTGAYGTTGTCGTTGTCGCCGCCGTCGCCTCCGCCCCACAGCCAGAACTCGGCGGTCTGCTCGATGATGTCGTCGTCCGTGTCCACCGTGCGGTGCTTGAGCTCAATGCAAGCGCACAAGTGCAGGTTTTGCGCTATGCGTACTTCCGGCACCCGACGAAATGCGTCGTAAGCCGCGCGCCGACTGGTCGCTGACACCGTCATGGAACAGTCGAAATCGCAGTCCTCGTCGCAATCTGCGGCCAGCATATCATCGTACGACGCCACCAGGCTAGCGTCAAACAACACCGGATCCGGCGCGGCTGCAATGTAATTATCACAATTTCTACCAWTTATCTCATTTAATTTATATTAATAAATTAATATTATACTATAAACTATGAACTTTAATATTTGAAGGGGGTGTGGGGGCATAWAGCCATTAGTACAATATTATAAACTTATGTCATCCCACCCCAGAACTAATTCCAAATTACGCCAATGCTGACTGCTATACATTATATATTACATATACAGAATATCTACAGCCATGTGAGTTCCCCGTTATTAATAATAATATAATAATGTACACCAACATCTTAAAAATACCAAAGGTTAATAAATGTATAAACCTAAGACCTATATTTATAGGATTATATAGCAATATACTACAAATTGTATACGAATCGGAAAAGTGAATACGTACTATAAAAATATGAAAAAATAAAAATCTTACTTGTCAAATCAAATTTTAGTGCTTCTTGCATGATAGAAATTATCTATAAAACTCAAAAATACAAAATTATGTAATTATGTAATTGTTTGAGTTGTACTAATCACATATTTTAGCAAATATAGAGAAGGAAATAAATTATGAGTTGTAAACATAGATTTTTACATATTAGGTACCTACTACGTATAATATGAATCATAGATTTGGAATAWATGTATAATACTTCTGCAATCAGCTGTAACATTACAAATTTTCAAGATATCTATGTATTATATATACAATAAAAAACAAGCACACCAAATGGGTTCCGCGCATAGAGTAATACTTACTAATAGTAATAATACTAAGTAATAATTACTCTATGATCCGAACTCATTATTTACTCATTAGGTAATCGGTAATCACATTTCACTCTATGATATTTTCAAACCGCGATTTAGTTTAACTATAGTCTTGTCCGTGATTACAAAAACAATAATGATAATTGATTATATATCAAATGAAGTATATTTAATTTGATCTATGTCAATCTTAGTATTTTAAATATTTAGTTGGTAAACTCAGCATCATTTTAATGATCAATATACCAACATCCAAGTTCTTACATTATACCATTGATTGTAAATATTATAAATCAATTGTATTTATAATCAATTTTTTTGAATTTAAATACCAACATTAATTCAACGTATTACAACAATAATTGGAGTTGACTATATATATATTCCATTTTTGATAGATAACTTATTTTTAATTTTTTTTACTGTGTAGGTACCTATATTTAATTTTTATATGCAAACATACTTAAATTAATATTCAAGTATGGATTTGTATATTATTTACTTATATTAGTATGAGTGTACTACAGTACTTATTTTCCGGGTAACACAACAATATAAAAATAATTATAGATTTATTGACATAACTTTTTACAAAATTCTTTATTCAGCTAAACAATGTAATCCCACAAAAAAACAACACGAGAAAGCATAATTTATTATTTAATAAAAAGACTTCTAGTGAGCAGTTAAAAAACATTTGAACCTCTTTATTCTCATAACTAGATAATATTCAATTAATTCAATAACCATTTCAAAATTTGATTATGAGTTATGAGTTATGACTATTATCACGAAACATTTAAAATCAATAAAATATTCCAATTCGTTCAAGTTTACTAAATAAACGCGATGATACCTATGATATTATGACTGATATGACTAGATCTTTATTTTACACAATAGTCGTTATGTTTATAATACGTTCATCATTCATGAACGAAAATCGTATAAGATTGGATCTTTGTTTAATGCAATAGTCGCTAAGTTTATAATACGTTCGTCGGGGGACGAGGTGACCGAGTGGTCTACCGCGTCGGCTGTGGCTCAGCCGGACCGGGTTCGATCCTAGACCATCGGGCGGCATTTTTCTCCGGGCAAGTCACGGTGTCCGGAGAACAAGTGCCACCATCCCCCACTCCGGGGCATCGTTCAACGAACGAAATGAACGAATCAAAATTAAAAAAATAATAATCACTAAACATTTAATGTTCATGATTTGTTCATTATATTTTAGTTTGCCATGACAATCAATCGACAAAAAAAAACATACCTATCATCACATTATTATACATATTRCATTCATCTAAAATATACATAACATCAATTAATGTAACCTATAGCTTTAGGTGACAKTTTATTTTATTTGTTTTATATAGGATAGCAGTGAAAATGTTTTGTCTTTATAGTTTATATTATAATCAAGTTAATTAATTCAATAGTTGAGTAGATAGGTACCTATAGAGGTATCAATAATATCAAAGAACAAATAATAATAATAATAATAATAAATAATATACATTCTATTTGTATACAAATATTGTTTAATATGGTACTTACCTACCTTAGAAAAATAATGCATTTTTGAATAGTATTTATTGAACTATTTTATATTATGTAGACATTAAAATATACAAAGTATTACAATATTACATTACCTTCCATTGTATCAAAATTTAACACATCAGATTCAATTTTTTTTTCATGACAAGATTTAAAATGTAAAATATATCCATTCATAGAATAAAAGGTTTTWAAACAATTTTCAAATGAACATATTATGTTTAAACCCCGAGATTTTTGTTTTACGTGGCATTTGACGTGCTGAATTATTTTTTTTCACATTAAATGAAACATCACAACTATTACAAAGTAATGTTATATGTTACACTTTTAGCTTTTTGTAGAGAAATTAATTCACTATGTTTAGTACGTCTGTGTTTATAAAACCCAGATTCTGACACACGTCGATTCACAAAATTCACAACGATACATATTAGAAAAAAACTGCAAAAACGAAGTGCAAACTGCAAACAAAATAGAAAAATACTATTGATTATTGAACTGTTTACAGTTTTAAATAATGCTGTATTTTTGTTCTATATTAAGCAAAAACCACAAGACACGGGGGACAGATGTCATRCTGGTTAGGTTTTATCTAAAGTACATTACTTCCAATAATAATTATCAACAATGGTAAAATGATAAGCGGCATAATTACGTCATGGACAGTAAGACATTTTTCCTGCTATGATCCATTCGTGAAAGAACAACTTTTTATTATTTCACGATCCGGATTGTTTCGTTTACAGGTTAGACCCGTTCATTTTGATCCGTTCGTTCGCGTACGACACATCTCTAAGAGCCACTATCCAATCAAAATGGTAAGATGTCTTTATTGTTATTAAAACGTGTAATATGTTGAGATATTTCGTCCGACATTATTCTCAAAAGTTATTGCCAAGCGGCAAACATGTAGGTGTGTGTGGTTTCAACGTTTCGGTACGCCATAATAATATCATAATTGTCTTCAATCAATCGATGCTTCCCTTTGGCAAATCATTTCTTTTTACTCTGTAGCTGGACCTTCTCGTAATTATCATGATTTGTTTCATAAGTTCCATCCTTGGTCTTCCACTTCCAATCACACTTGTATACATATCATTAGAACACACTTAATAATGTAATGTTATACTTAATGTCGAATGTGTAGTGTCCCTTGCGGTTTTGTAATTTTATTTGTTGCATCTGTTGTCTAACTTTRATTTTGTTTGAACAGGCTTCAATTGCAACCAAGTTCCGTCCACTCTTTGATCGAGTTTTGGTCAAACGTTTGGACGCTGTTAAGCAAAGTAAAGGAGGTATAATGTTACCTGAAAGTGCTGCGAAAAAAAT